TATGGCCAAAATAGCACAGTACAAGAGGAAGCTCATGGATCTCTCCCACAGAACCTTACAGGTAATAGTTTAGAATTCCCCCAGTGTTTTATAAGGGTTATATGTGAAATATTTGCCAAATAAGGAAATGATTTTTTACATAGGAAAAAGACCCAAAAGTTGGAGGCTCCTACAGGATAGGAGATGAGAGAAAAAAATAGTCTAAAGTTCACCTCAAAAACAATTTTGGTACAAGGGAAGGTATAAAATTGATGATTCCTGGTTCCATAAAGTAGAATGAGTACCAGTAAAAGGAATGGGGCCATGTATTGATGATTAAAACCAGTTACCAGTTCAACAGCAACCTAAGGGGAATCATATTGTCACGAGAACAAGCGCTCCATACCAAACTCAATGGGACACAAGCAAAAGCCCTCATTAAAAACACCAAATCAAATACAATGAGCTTACTGTTGAGAAATTTGAGAAACCAGCGATACATTCAGAATGGCAGTGGACAGGAAGACCATCAGAATAGAACCATCCCAAAGAGATCAGAGGGACAGTGCCACACACATAGGCCTAAGTCATGAAAGATGCTACCCTTTTTCAGATTTGGAACCTAGGGAGACAGGTGATTTTTTTTTTTTAAACAAATAAAACTTACTAAAAGTAATGTACAGCAAAGTGAAGAAACTGGTAACTACCCAGAAAGCAGAGGGGGACTTCTAAAGTCCATGTGGAAAACCCCTCAAGTGTGGCTAATTTCATTGCTGAATTTGTCTAATAAAAAGATAATTTTTGTGCTACTTTAATCTTTTTAAATCAAGGAAAAATATTGATGGCTCCTTTTTCCTCTTTGAACACTTTCATTGAGATATAATTCATATATCATATACTTAACTCTCACTTAAAGGATATACTGTCTGTGAGTAAGTATGTTTTCAATATGTTTTCATTACCATGCAACCATTACAGAGATGAGTTGTTAGGATATGTAATCATGCTATCGAGAATTCCCATGCCTCTCAGGAGCCACTCTCCCATTTAACCCACATCTGCTCATGCTGGGCACCCTCATGCCAACACTTGGCTCCCTGTATAACTCAACATTGGCAAGATGTTCACTTAACCAAACAGCTAGAAACTTTACAGTGAACTTGAATAAATCTGGGTGTTGTGTTGCATGCCTGTAATCCTAGCACTTTGGATAAAGCAGGAGGATCAGTAGTTCAAGGTCACCCTGGACCACATGAGACCCTGTCTCAAAACACAAAAAGTGATTTTTATATTTTCTCAGTAGTCTTTTGAGTGCAAAAAAGTAAATATACAAACAGCATTGATTTTTTTTTTTTTTTTTAAGATGTGTTTTATACAAAGATTTTCTTTAATATCTAATTGGAATGTAAAAGCACTTCATAGTAAGCATAAAGGACTTGAGGTTTTTTTTTTTTTTTTTTTTTTTTCTCTTGTTTAATGTTTTGGGTTTTTACTGTGTTTGAGCCAGGGTCTCAGCTATGCAGCCTAGACTGTCCTACAACTCTCCTTGTTCCTCAGGCCAGCCTCAGACTTGTCCTCATGCCTTAGCCTCCCAAGTGCTAGGATTTCAAAGCACCCCCTATATTCTCAGCAAGTCAGTAATTGATCTTAAAAAGTACTCTACTGCCTTGTATTGATCCTTGTCTTTCACAGGTCCTAATTAAACAGGAGATTCAAAGGAAGAGTGGCTACGCCATCCAGGCTGACGAAGAACAGCTTCGGGTTCAGCTGGACACTATCCAGGGGGAACTGAATGCACCTACTCAGTTCAAAGTAAGCACTTGGAAGTCTACCTGGCTAGAGGCTGTTGAGGTAGAGCTGAAACGGGATTAAGTAGTCATCACACGGGTGTGTAGCATTGTGTGTCTTAAGCACATTTGTTTGTACTAATTAAAATTTCTACAATTCCCAGTCATGGTACTTTTGGCTTGCATTAGTGCTTCAAATAAAGACCTGGGAGTTTTAACTGATGGTTTTGAAGATACCTTTTTTAAAAAAAAAAAAAAAAGAATCTTTTCGGAGTAGCTGTGATTGTTAGCGCTTGTTTCTGACTCATTTTTAGGGTCGACTAAATGAACTGATGTCCCAGATCCGGATGCAGAATCATTTTGGAGCTGTTAAATCTGAAGAAAGGTATTACATAGATGCAGACCTGTTACGGGAGATTAAGCAGGTGAGTATCAGCTTCCAACTTCATACCCCATCAGGGTGGCTGCTGTTCACCCATTAGAATGTGAAGAAATTGTAACCTCAGGCACCTTGGAGTAACATGAAATATAAAAATCATCGGTAGTGGTGCACACACTTAATCCCAGCACTTGGGAGGTAGACAGGTGGGACTCTGAGTTCAAGGCCAGCCTGGTCTATAGAGCTAGTTCCAAGACAGCTAGGGCTACACAGAGAAAAAAAAAAGAAAACCTAAATTAAAAGTAGAATTAACATCTCATCTGGCAGTTCTATATCTGCTTGTTTTTGAAAGACAAGGTCTCAGTATGTGACCCTGGTTCGTCTTGAACTCAGGAATCTGTCTGCCTTTGCCATTTGAGTGCTTAGATTCAAGGTATATGCCACCATGCCCAGCCAGTTCTATTTCTGGAGATGTGTGTACATATACATATAAACATATATATATATATATATACACACACCCCAGGAAGTTAAAAACAGGGATTTGCACAGACATTTATACACATATAGTGGAGATTTTAACACATGCAACAACATAGGTAGACCTTAAAATATGTGGTCATACAAGGGCAAATGTATGACTGCCCCTCTGTGAAGCAGAATGACCAAGGATGTGAACATACATAACATCTCTGTACACATAAAGAGGTCCACAGTGACGTGCCAAACATACTCCCTCACTGCCCAAGAATATTATCTAGATAATACAAGTGTCAAAGGGTAGGCAGTGGCAGTACTCAGGTCAGGGAGGAGGTAAATCTCAGGCTTCCTCCAAATCCTCTCAGCTGCATTTTATCCTGACCTAGAATGATCTGTATGTATATCAAATTGAGAAGCTGGGACCAGGGATGTAACTCAGTTGGTGGAATGCTTGCCTGCTATAATGGAGCCCTGACTTCAGTCCCCAGCACCACAGAAACTAGTAGTGCACACCCACAGTCACAGCATTCAGGAGGCAGGAGCATTGGTTCAAGGCCCTGTCTTTAAAAACACAGAAAACACATTTTAAAGATATTGTCAATTCATACTTAATCTGGTTTTCCCTGGTTTTAGAATGCCTTGTACTGAGGATAGCTGTCTCACTATGCATACTTATATTTAGTCAGTAATTGCTGTATTATGAGTACTTTGTGGGTAGCTTTCCGTTTAACAGAACAGTACACTCACATTTTATTTTCTTCCAAATTCATTCTAGCATTTGAAACAACAACAAGAAGGCCTCAGCCACTTGATTAGCATCATAAAAGATGACCTAGAAGATATAAAACTGGTAGAACATGGATTGAATGAAACCATCCATAGCAGAGGCGGTGTCTTTAGCTGACCATTTACAGACTTGTTCAGAGGTTCATAAAGTCATCCTGCTACGTCAGGCCTTCCTTACGATGACCACATGGACGGGCAAGATAGTCCTTTCCTCGCTGGCATGTTTGAAGTCCTGAGAAACTACTGGACATTAAATCTGAAACGGACATCACAAAGCTCTTCAAAGAGAATCTGAAAGTTTATATCTAAAAGTATATTTACTTAAGAAAAAAGTACACAATTCCCCGAAGTATATGCACTGTTGTACATTTTACAGCAGCATTAAGCATAGTCAGTGTTTGATGGTTATTCTTTTCCATAGCACAAAATCCTTCCTAACAAAACAAACTGTAATTATGTGGCTGTTGGAGATTATGATTCAGAATGTGATGCACTCCACTGTGAGGCTATCAGTGGAGAGTAAAGAGAATCCCAAAGTATTTAATGATTTGTGTGGTTTTCCTTTTGTTCTATGAAGACTTGAAGATATATTTTTATATTATTTTACTTATTTGGAACTTATAGAACATATCTAGCCAATTAGGATTTAACAAAAATCACTGTTTTTGCAAACTTTTTCTAAACTTTTTATTTCTAAAAATGAAATCTTTAAAATAAATAGTTAATTTGCAATTTTATGTAATTCTGTTCTCTGGTGTTTTATTTAAGGACTTGTAGGTGCTGACATGTTTTGACTAGAGTATAACAAATGGAATCATCTAGGATGAAACCTTCCATCGGCTTTAAATTCCACTTCAGACTGCAGGACAGACCGGCCTCAGCTTGTTGACACCTCTGCAAATGCTGTAACTATGCTTCTGTGTGGTGCTTTGGCTTACACTGGGGGAAGTTATGAGAGCAAAACAAAAACAAAACTGCGTCTTGCTGTTGTGCTAATGTGGGGTGATGGGGGAAAAAGTGCTGTGTCTAGAATCCTACTGAAGCAGAGATTAGACACTGTAAAGACTAGGGACTAAGACTAGGGACTAAAACTTCCCAAGTTGGCCACTAGAATTTTGTAGTTGTTGCTGCTGGGTATGGGCATAAAACATAACACCACTCCCCCCCCCCCAATATTTTTTGTCTTAATTTCCATGTTTTATTTTCTTCCAAATTCATTCTAGCATTTGAAACAACAAGAGGGCCCAAAGCCGCTGGCTTGTTGCAATGCCAGTGGCTTTGGGAGGGTTTTCTTTGCACTTGCCACGTCTTGGTGGTCATCTAGGGGACCAGTGAGAAGGAAAGACAAGACAGAAATACATAGCAGCTCCCTGTGGGAAGGAAGGGATCCCAGAGCTGCTAATGTTACAGGGTCCCCACATGGCCTCCTAGGCACAGAAGGCTGCCATCTTAGCAGCTCACTCGCCTGCCTACCTATGTATTTATTGTTTCAGAGAGAAAGCAATCATTCCATTTTGACTCTGGCATTAAATTCATGTTAGTCACATTAGTAATGGCCTTTTAATATTTGGAAATCCTACAGGAAAACATTTAATAAACTTAAAAGTTTTATTGAATCCGATCAAAAGTATACAGCTGTGGGATTTTTACAATCCTAAAGTTAAACAGAAATGAAAAGTTAATTCTATGACACTATCTGGACCAGCTTTTTAAACTGTAAAACAGGGAACAAATATACAGTTCTTATTTTATACAGTCTGTGCAAGTGAGAAAGACCTCTTTTCTCTTGACTTCCTGTGGGGTCCCCATTGCATCTTTCAAATGAACGTTAGGATGCCATGAGCAGTGGGGATGCTTACAGCAGAAGCGACGATTAACATGATGGATGCTGTGATTGATGGAAGGAGCATTCTGCCAGATGATGCGGAAGGATGGCTTTTGGGACCTGGACCTGGAGCTGGGCCCGGAGCTGTTAAAGAACACAGTCATGGTTTGTGGTATGTATTGAGTATCCTCCACCTATAACATACATCACAGCTGTGAACAGCAGCAGCCTACTGAGACACCTTTAGTCAGGTGCTTGTTTGTATATACATGCAGCCTCGAAGTTTCAGGCTAAATTTGTAGATGTATCATTAGAGCATACTGTTCTAGGGTTTTGTTTTATATCTATATAGGCAACCAAGGCAATTATTTCTTGTTCAAGTGCACCAGAATTTCTTAGCAAATTTCTTTTCAGTTGCTTTAAATCATACATTATAAGTTGACCTCATTTGTCTCATTTCAAACAAGATATAACTGCAGTTTTTTTTTTTTTTTTTTTTTTTTTTTAAAAAAAAACACTGAGCCTACAAACTGGCAGAAAAAGGAAAAAAAAAAATTTCCCCTATGTGTACCTGGCTTTGGAGAAAACCAGCTTTTTTTTTTTTCTCCCCCACTCTTGCTTTGCTTTAAACCTAGGTAACTTAACACCTTTGTTTAAGCAGACTGCATAGGGACGGGACTGTTTATGAGAGCAGTCAAGAGTTCATACATGAAGCCAAGAGAAACAGTAGTTTAGGGCTTCATGTTGGTTGCTGACACTGCAGTCATGTGTCTAGAGGTGGAGCGGCTGGCAGGTCATTGGTGCATCAGGATGTTGTTGCAGGCAGGCAGTTCACAAGGGGGCAGACTTGCATATGAGAAGCAATCTAGATGCTGTCCAGGGTGGAATAGGGGCACTAATGACTGAACTTGGGCCTCACATGTGCTAGCTCTGCCACTGCAGGAGACTCTTAACTGTTAGGAACTAGACCTGAAATGCTTGGGATAGGCTTCCACAATGAAACACGGACCTACCCTCTGCAGTTTCAAGTGTGCTGCCAGTACTCGCACAACCCGAAGCAGCTTGCCATATAAACCAAGTGTTTTCTAAGGGGCTTCTCTGTGGAACCCTGGCTGCCTGGGGACTCGCTCTATAGACCAGGCTGGCCTCATACTCAGATCTGCATGCCTCTGCCTCCTGAGTGTTGAGGTTAAAGTCATGCACCACCACCTGCTGTTCTGACTAACATAAAACAGTTCATCTACTGTCTGCTGTTGCTTCACTTTGATCTTATGTGGAATAAGTATGATCTTATACTTCCAGTATGCTCCAACCCAAATTTTCACGTAGGATATGTCTACCTTATGAATCTAGTATTTATACTTTGAGACATACAACTAAAAAAAATAGAACATGCCAGTTCTTTTACAGGTAAGGTACATCTTACGGTGAATCTTATTTCAGGATACTATAAAGGCTTTATAAAATATTGGTTGTTTAGAAAAAGGATGGCTTGAGAGAACTGAAGTGTCTCTAGAAAGTTAATAGTTATTTAAAGGAAGCTGATGGGTGGGGGAGGGGCAGCTCATGCATGCACATAAGCGCATGCAACTTTGTCACCTTTCAATGAGGAAAAAAATTAGCTTTACATTTTTTTATTTCTAAGCATGTGTCATCCAAAGAGAAGGAGGTGTTTCTTACTAGGATTGGCAGCCTTTCCTTGGCTTTTCTCTTCTAGAACATAAAGAGAATCGGAGTTACTACATTATACATTTATATATTTTCTCCAGATATGAAGATCTCAAAGTTGGAGTAAGCTTATTCTTCCCTTGAGAGTGGGCCTAGGGCATATTTGAGGAGAAAGAAGGCTTTAATTTGACCCATCTGCTCTGAAAAATTTCCTCCATGAGTGTGTTTTCGTTAAAATGAATGTGAAGTTTGTAACCAAAAAGAACCCTTTTCTGAATATTGAACTCAGACTGCTAAGTATAAGCCACCCCGTCTTCCATTTACTGAGTGCCAGCACATCAAGGACACTCTAGTCATCTGTGCTGGCTGAGGTACAATGTGCATGGAATCAGAGCAAATGCTTCCATGGGACCAATGTCTGTCTGACTTTGACCTCTGTCCCAGTTGCTATGCTGTATTACCACCAGGTGTGTAGCTAGGCTTGAAATATTGGTACTCACATTTTTATAATTTTAAATCTAAATGCTGTGTCTTAGGAGTCCAGAATAGATGGGTGTCAGTCTGGCTGTCTTTTCTGCTCTCACAAGATTCCTCACCTTGCTGGATTTGATGAGCCAGCCTTAAAAAGCCTGCACTACACACAGCTTTCCAGGAAGGGCACAGTACTTTAGCTGGTTGAGGAAAAGAAGACATGCCTACACAAAATGGCTAGTCTGCATGGGTGTGCTGTGAGGTTCTCATTCCTACTTTCCAGACTTACTCTGGAATAAAAAGTACATGTGGACACCGCTGCCCACTATCAAGCCATCTACCTGCTTATATGGAAATGCGTTCTCAGAGGCAGGGAGCCAGGAGAGAGAAGAGAGGATGAACAAGCATCAGTGAGAGGCCTGAAGCATCAACAGCAGCAGCTCCCTGAACTACCTACAGAAATGCCTGTGCGTACGCTAGGAGATAGCATCAGCTACCAGAAACTATTCAAACTCCAAAGCCTCAATCCTGTCTGCACCTACAGGAGTCATGGCCCCGCTTACACCCAAAGGAGAGGCCATCTGAGCCTTGGACTCATCTACACCTGGACGAGCGATCACCACAAGCTCAGCCCTGCCTGCATTTAGAGGAATATTCAACAGAACCATAGCCCCCAACTACACCAAATGGAGGAAGAGGGACCCCTGAAGCACAGGATCTATCTGTACCAAATGGAGGTAGAGATGGATAGACGACAGTGTAAGGACACAGAATAATACAGCACCACCAGTAACTAGTGGGTCTACAGCATTGAGGCCCTTAAAGAAATGGAGGATAAGACAAACAAAAATTGGAAGAGATTAACAAAGAAAACCTAGGAAAAGCAATCAAAACAGGTGAAGGAAACAGTTCAAGACTTGAAAACTAAAATAGAGGCAATAAAGAAAAAACACAAACTAAGGGAACTCCAGAAATGGAAAATCTGGGTAAACGATCTGAAACTACAAATGCAAACATAAACAGGATTTCAGGCACCATAGAGGAAATAGATTCATTGGCCAAAGAAAATTTTAAATCCAACAAATTCTTAACACAAAATATCCAAGAAGTATGGGACACCATGAAAAGACTGAACCCTAGGAATAATATGGTTCGAAGTCCAGCTCAAAAACACAGAATATATATATATTCAACAAAATCACAGAAGAAAGATTTCCTAACCTAAAGACATACTTATGAAAGTACAAGAGGCTTACAAGAGGCTTACAGAACACCAAATAGACTGGAACAAAAAAATTCACCTCTCTACACAATAACACTAAACATACAGAAGAAAGAATGAATGCTAAAGGCTGCAAAGGAAAAAGGCCAAGTAACATAAAGGCAAGCCTATCAGAATTATACCCCACTTCTCAATGGAAACAATGAAAGCCAGAAGGTCCTGGTCAGGTGTTATGCAGACACTTAAGGGACCATGATGCCAGCCCAGACCACTATATCCAGCAAAGCTTTCAATCACCATAGACAAAGTACAAATTGGCCCTATGGAAAATACCGATAGGACTCCAACCCAAAGAAGTTAGCTACATCCACAAAAACTCAGGCAATAGATAATCCCACTCCATCAAATTCCTAAAAAGAAAAACACACAATACCACCACCAACAAAAGCAACAGGAACCTAGCAATATCAATGAACTCAATTCACCTATAAAAAGGCATAGGCTGTCAGATTGGAGACAAAAACAATCCATCCTGCAGCATACAAGAAACACCTCAACCTCAAAGACTGACATTACCTCAGAGTAAAGGGTTGGGAGATTTTCCAATTTCTAACAAAATAGACTTCAAACTAAAATTAGTCAAAAGAGATGAAGGTCATTTCATATTCATCACAGGAAAAATCTATCAAGATAAAGTCTCAATTCTGAACATCTATGCCCCAAATACAAGGGTACCTTTACTTGTAAAAGAAACATTACTAGAGCTTAACTCACACATCAAGCTCCACACACTAATAGAGGGAGACTTCAATACTCCACTCACCACTGGACAGGTCTCCCAGACAGAAAACAGACAAAGGAACTAACAAATGTCATGACATCTATAGAATGTTCCACCCAAACACCAAAGAATATACCGTCTCAGAACCCTATGGAACCTTCTCTAAACTTGATCACATACTCAGTAACAAAGCAAACTTCAATAGATGCAAAAAAAAAAAAAAAAAAAAAAAAAAAAAATTGAAATAACCCCCTGTATCTTATTGGATCACCACGGCTTAAAGTTAGAATTCAACAACACTAATTGCAGAAAGCCCATAAACTTATGGAAATTTCACAGTGCTCAATTGAATCACCAGAGTCAAGGAAGAAATAAGGGCTTCCTCAAATTCAATGAAAATGACCTCACAGCATAGCCAAACTTATGGGACACAATGAAAGCAGTGCTGAGAGGAAAGTTCATAGCACTAAATGCCCACATAAAGAAGCTGGAGAAATCCCACACTAGTGAATTAACAGAACAAGTGAAAGGAGGAGTAGATGGCTGGAAATAAACAGAAAACAATACAAAGATTAATGGGACAAAGAGCTGGTTCTTTGGGAAAAAAAAAAAAAATCAATGAGACAGACAAACCTTTATCCAAACTAACAAAAAAAGACAGAGGAATTATCCAAATGAACAAAATCAGAAATGAAAAGGGTGGCATAACAGACACAGAGGAAACCCAGAGAATCATCAAAAACCTGTACTTCAATAAAAGAAAGACACCACATGATCATCTCATCAGATGCTGAAGAAGCCATTGACAAAATTCAACACCCCTTCATGATAAGGTCTTGGAGAGAGCAGGATACAAAGAACATCTAAACATAATAAAGGCAATATACAGCAAGCCAACATCAAACTAAATGGAAAGAAACTCAAACCGATCCCACTGAAATCAGGAACAAGAACAGTCTGTCCACTCTATATCAATTCAATAATCCTACTGAAAGTTCTAGCTAGAGTGATAAGACAACAAAAGTATACAAATTGGAAAACAAGTCAATCTTCGCTATTTGATAATATATAGGTAAGTGACCTCAAAAATTCTACCAGGGAACTGCTACAACTGATAAACACCTTCAGTAACATAGCAGGATACAAGATTAACTCGAAAAATTCAGTAGCCCTCCTATATACATATAGTTGTGATAAATGGACTGAGAAAGAAATTAGAGAAACATCACCCTTTACAATAGCCATAAAACATCACCCTTTACAATAGCCATAAATAACAAAATATCTTGGGGTAACTCTAACCAAACAAGTGAAAAGACCTGTATGACAAGAACCTTTGAAGAAAGAAACTGAATAAGATACCAGAAAATGGAAAGATCTCCCATGCTCTTAGACAAAAGCAATCTATAGATTCAATGCAATTCCCATCAAAACCCCAGCAATATTTTTCACAGAATTCAAAAGGACAATACTCAACTTCATATAGAAAAACAAAAAAACCCAGGATAGCCAAAATAATCCTATACAATAAAGGAACTTCTGGAGATATCTGACTTCAAACTCTACTATAGAACTACAGAAATGAACACAGCTTGGTATTGGCATAAAAACAGATGGACCAGTGGAATTGAAGACCCTGATGTTAACCCACACACCTATGAACACCCTATTTTTGACAAAGAAGCTAGAACTATAAAATGGAAGAAAAGAAAGCATCTTCAACAAATGGTGCTGGCATAACTGGATGTCAACATGTAGAAGAATGCAAATAGATCCATATCTATTGCCATGTACAAAACTCAAGTTCTAATGGATCAAAGACCAACATAAGTTCTAATGGATCAAAGACCAACATAAAACCAAACACACTGGACCTCATAGAAGAGAAAGTGGGAAGTAGCCTTGAATACATTGGCACAAGAGAGGCTTCCTAAATACAATACCAGCAACAATGAATAAATGGGACCTCCTGAAACTTAGAAGCTTCTTTTGTAAGGCAAAGGACACAATCAACAAGACAAAATGGCAGCTCACAGAATGGGAAAAGATATTCACCAACCTGACATCTGACAGAGGGCTGATCTCCAAAATATACAAAGAACTCGAGAAACACCAAAGAATCCAATTTAAAAATGGGATACATATCTAAACAGAATTCTCAACAGAAGAATGGCTAAAAGACATTTAAGGAAACACAACATCCTTAGCCATCAGGGAAATGCAAATCAAAATAACTCTGACATACCATCTTATACCTGTCGGAATGGCCAATATTAAAAGCACCCATGACAGTTTATACTGAAGAGCATGTGGAGTAAGGAAACACTCCTCCACTGCTGGTAGGAGTGCAAACTTGTACAGCTGCTGTGGAAATCAGTATGATGGTTCCTCAAAAAATTGAGAATCAGTCTACCTCAAGACCCAGCAATACCACTTTTGAGTGCACAATATTATAAGGACATTTGCTTAACTGCCATTCATAGCAACATTAGTCATAATAGCCAGAACCTGGAAACAACCTAGATGCCCTTCAGCTGAAGAACAGATAAGGAAAATGTGTTACATTTACACAATGGAGTACTACTCAGCAAGGGGAGGGGGGAGGATGGCATCTTGGAATTTGCCCACAAATGGATGGAACTAAAGAAAGCCATCCTAACCCAGTTACAAAAAGACAAATAATAGACATAGTACAGGTAAGTGACCTCAAACATTCTATCAGGAAACTACTACAGCTGATAAATACCTTCAGTTACATATCAGGATACAACACATAAAGAATAACCGGCATACAGGCCACAACCCCAGAGAACCTAGGCAACAAAGAGGACCCTAAGAGAGACACATGGAACCACCTAGGAAATGGAAAAAAGACAAGATCTCCTGAGTAAATTGGGAGTGTTGGGGGGAGGGTGTATGGGGAGAGGAGAGGAGAGGAGGGAGGGAGTGGAGAGGAAAATGTACATCAATTTAAAAATGACAAAAAGAAAAGTTCTCAGCGCTTTCCCCTTCTAACATCAGGACATATGTCAGAAACTGTAAGCCAAGATTATCTTCCCCCAGACCCTGTGCTATCTGAATGATGATGGTAGAGAACTTAGACCATGGTCCTCCCTGCCAAGGAGAATTACCAGGTTTTTCATCCGGCTGGAAAGGATTTTCATCTGGTTGTAGCACTTTAATTCCTAAATGATAAAAAGATTTTCAATTAATAAAAATGGCAGCTTCTGTTTACTGTTTTACTACTGCCAGACTGTGATGTTAGCTCCTCAGCCCTGAAAGGTAGAATCATTTGTACCTTACAGTGGAGGATGCTCAGATAAATGAAGTTATTTACACAAACTGACCAGAGGCAAGCAGCTAAGGGGAACTTAACACCAGGTCTGTCTACTCACATCTGTTCTCCACACTCAGCTTAGAATCTGCTTTTCAGACTGTGAAGACCCTGAGAGAGCACTGTGCAAACTCAGGCCCAAAGACCAGAAGTGATGTAGGGGAACAAGTTGTGCTCATTATTACAGTGTCAATCTAGACCAATACGCAAGTTGCTGGACCTGCTTTCTGTGTCTGTTCTGTGAGTTAACTGTCACTGCTGCTTCTACATGCTCTACTGTTTGAAGCATACAGTAGTGCCCCACCATGGTCAGACCATGGATGTGATTTAGCACATGCTCAATGTGCTGGGACACAGTGGTAGAGAACTCACCTAGCATGCACAGGCCCTGGGTTCAATCCTTCTAAATAAGAGAACAATTAAGTAGGTTTTGTTTTTTATTTTTTCAGATGATCATGCCTATAATTAGCAAAATTTACAGGAAAAAAATTCAGATCACTGCATGAACTCAGGGGAAAGGATATTTTAAGCATTGGTTATCCCTGTGAAGTTGCTATGACAAGGTGGTCACATTTGTAAGATGGTGGTTCTGAGACACAGAGTCATCATGACTGTTCAGCACTTTGTGATAAAATGTGCCCTTTTGTTTTTTCACTCCCCCAGTCAGCATAAGGAGCAGAGGGACTGACTCAGGGATCTTACTGGAGTCACAGATCCATTTCTCTGATCACAGCAGCTTAGCCCCTCACTGATCACCCCCCAGCTACCCCTCACACGTTTAAAAATATACTTTTGCGTGGTTGCTGTGAAAGGAAGGTAACATTCGTCATGGTAAATGTAGTGGAAAACACAGGAAATGCAAGCATTGTGAAAGAAACATTGAGAGGCCTGAGTCCTTCACTCACATGTGACTGTGTGCAGTTACTAGACTTTCTGGCATGTGTAATGACAGTCATGTCTCTATCCCTGTGCTGGCATATTTTTTGCCCTCTCGTGTGTCTGTTGCTTGCCAGGAAGTAGGAAAGGTCCTGCAATTTTCTTTCCTAAATAAGAACTTAAGTGGCCTCTGGTTGCTCCTGAGCCATGAGTGCTCGCTGGACACCACCCCAGATCCCAATGCACTAAGGCTTCAGGCTTTTGATGGCACAGCTCTGGCTCCATGAGCCCTCACTCTGCACATCTACACCAGTCTTGAGCCTGTGAATAGTGCCTCACTGAGCTGTGCCTGCACCGCAGAGTACTTGCGGGTCCGGTCCAAGAAGCAGAGTTCTACAGAGCTTCAGGAAAGCCTGGAACCTCTGCAATCAGGTCCCAGCAAGCTGGCCCTGAACCATGTTCCAAACAGCTCACTGTCCTGCCCAGAGCCAGTGCCCCAGGGGCATGGGAAGACTGGGAGGGTACAGTCTCCTCCAGAGCTAAAGCTGTAGAGACAGCCAAAACGATGATGACACGATCCCAAAGCAAAACTCTGAGTATCATTCCATGCTAGCATCATGTCTAATCCTCTAAGTAAAGAGAAAACGACCTTACCTGGTATTCCAGTGGATTCCAGTCTTTTCCTACCTGAAGGCAGAAATAAATGCTGTTGGTGTTTTTCAGTTAGTGGCACTCCTAACATCCTTTGTCTCCCTTCTCAAAACTTCAAATAGTAAGTCATACATGTAACAGAAACAGTGATATGAATTCAAGTCCAGTAAGCCAGATTTCAGGAGCATCTGTGATTTAGTTCACATCGTTCCTAGCTTCCTAGCATGGTTTATTTTTAAATGGAAGGATACTAGGCTCAAATCTCTCTGCATGATTTAGCACAACTCTCACTGTAAATATTGGCTCTGACTTTGAAGTCTTTGAGTTTGTAGAAGAAATAGTTTGCATGTTAAAAGAAGTGAGGATTAATGGAAATATATGGCATCAAATGCTTGGTTTATTGCACAGAGCATTAAAAAGAAACCTCAAAAGTGATACCTGTCCCATTTATATTGGCTTAATTCATAACCTGGTAGCTAGTCTGAGAGTAAAAAAAAAAAGAGAGAGAACTCATTTACCAGGTTAGCCCCTGGCTTTTATTTCTAAGGCTAAGCAGAAGGGTGTGTGTGTGTGTTATATACACATTATGTATATATTATATATAATGTCTTATATAATGTTTTTGGTTATATAAATACATGATAATTGTAGAAAGGAAAATTATTAAGATTAAAAACAAAAAGCTCAGATCTCAGATACTTATAACATTTTTTGGTGTATTTACTTTGAATCTTTTGGCATATATATGTGCATATATATATATATATTATATGTATATATATATATATACACACACACACATTTTAATTATAGATCCTTTGTGTTATTTTATATCTTTTTGTTTGGATTTTTTTGTTTTTTGTTTTGTTTTGGGTTTTTGTTTTTTTTTTTTTTGAGACGGTCTTTCCGTGTATCCCAGGCTACTCTCAAACTTGCCATCCTTCTGCCTCAACTTCTCAAGTGCTAGGATGAAATTGTACCACCACACTTTTTTTAAAATACTGATTGTACAAAATAATGAGTTTTGGCTGACAAGATGGCTTGGTTGGTAAAGGTTCTTGCCACCTGAGTTCCTGGGGAAGCCACTTAGTGGAAGCTGTCATCTGACCACCACACATGTGCTGTAACACATGCACACTCATACTAAATAATGCAAAACAAATAGGTTTCAAGTAAGGTCTTTTTACACATGCATGTGATGTACTTTGATCATATTCACTCCCATTACCCTTTGTTATTTCTGTTCTGTTTGTATACTACATACATGCTACTACATGTACTACATACATGCTAGTCCAGTGCTTGTTGAACTAGACCTTCAGCTCTTATAATTTATAGGTGCTTTCTTAGACCTTTTAATGCTTTCTTAAGCCTAATTTCTAGAGTTAAGTGTTTATAATAATATTATTACTATTTAATAGTACCCAATCTACATGAGTAGTGTATGTAGGAATGTCAGTGTGCTCTGGGGTGCTGCATAATGCCACTAGTCATCAGTAGGGCCTGGCCAAAGCTTACCTGAACTGATTCATGGCTTATCCACAAATGGGTATCTTTCTGACTCTGCGGAGCCTCTTTTAAAAAGAAATGTAGGATTGATTGGGGCTTTTAGTGTAGGCAGATCCCAGCTACTCAGGAGGCAGAGGCCAGAGGATTGAGCTTTGAAGGCTTGAACTACAAAATGAGTTCAAGGCCAGCTAATCTATTCAGACCCCGTCTGGGGTTTGTTTTGCTGTTTTTGTCTTTTTGTTGTTGTTGCTTTGTTTTAAGACAGGGTTCTCGCTGTGTAACCTTGTCTGACCTGAAACTCACTATATAGGCTTCAGACTTATAGTAGACTTCTGCCTGTCTCTGCTGAGGTTAACATTAAGAAACAGAGTAAAAAGATAACTGTGATAGCTCAGTGCTTAAGGTACTGGCCTAGTATGTGTGAAGTCTAGTCCTGAAAAACAAAACACCTGCTGGCACTACTGTCCTTTCTAAACATGCTGCTGAGACTGTGAGGCAACAGTTACACTTAAGTTGTAACTGGGTTAAAAGTATAGTCATATTTAAGGGTAGTGACACATACTTTTGGATCAACCATTAAAAAACTTGTTCCAAGGACAGGGGGTATATCTCGGCAATAGCATGCTTACCTAGCTTGCAGGGAGCCCAGGGTTTGATTCCAGGCACCATGGGGAAAAAAAGAAAATAGAAAAGTGTTCCAATAATTTCTCCAGTAACTTGAGAACTTTTCTACCCTAGCACTTGAAGACAGTAATATCTTTAAACATAGAAACTTTGATGTCTTGGTGGATAAAGTACTTGGTGGATAAAGCTGGGCACCACAGCTCGGATCCCCAGAACCCACATAAGAGCCAGGGAGGTGGGTGTTGTAGTCAGCCTATAATCCATGTGTGTGAGGTAGAAACGGGAGCCCTGAAACATGGCCAGCTAGACTAGCAGAATCGGAGAGCTCCATGCTCACAGAGAGAGATCCTGTCTCAGTATACAGAGAGCTCCATGTTCACAGAGAGAGATCCTGTCTCAGTATACAGAGAGCTCTGTGTTCACAGAGAGAGATCCTGCCTCAGTATATAGAGAGCTTCATGCTCACAGTGAGAGATCCCACCTCAGTACACAGTGATCTAGGAAGACATCTGGTATCAACTTCTGCCACCCACAGGCATGTGCACATGCATACATGCACTCACATACATGTATGTCCACACTCATGCAAACAAGCATATACAAAAAAAAAAAAAAACACCATTTATTTCTATGTGTTTATGTGTGTGCCTTAGTGAGTATATGTGGTCCACTTGTTCAAAGGTGCCTGTAGAGGCCAGAAAGTGTCCGATCCCCTGAACGGGAATTGTGGACAGTAACTGTGAGCCACCTGCTGTGAATGCTGGGAAGTGAACCTCGGTCCTCTAAAAGAACAGCAAGCCATCTCTCCAGCCCACATTTCTTTTCTTTTCTTCTATGTAAAAACCTGGAAGTAAGTTATACTTTGGAATGTACTCATCAGACAGACATGAGTACAAAGAATTGTCATTTTCATTTAGGAAAAATAAACACTAGTTGTTTTGTCAACTCTGGGCCACACAAGTTTCCAGAATAATCAGTCACACTGTCCTCATCTTTCTCGGATGACTACAGGCATGGGTGCTGTACTGCTTTTTATAAAGAATTCAATCTAAGAGATCAAACTAGCAAGCTAAGAGGGGCCCTGGCTTCTCCCCATGCACTCACAGCTCGCAAATGTGACATCCCAGAGTTTACAAGAGTGTCTTACCAGAGTCTTCAAGCTTCTGACTTTCCAGATCTGCATCACAAACAGCAAAATGCATCAGTTTTACCAAGAGAGCAAAAGAACTGTAAAGGACCAGGAGGCACATCTGATTGCAAGTGCCACCTAGAGTCTCCACACATGTGGGCAATGGTTAGGACACCTTCCTGGCACCCACACTGAGATACACCACATTAGTCTCCTGGCAGTGTCAAGGAGACAGGAAGAAATTGCTGATTTGAATAGCTTGTCCTGTGCAATGGTCAGAATTTGTGAAGGCAAAAGGCCAGAAGGGGGTCCTCGGTATCTATGAGAACAGGAGACATCTTCCCCAACAGATAGAAAGTGGTACACTTAAAGGCAAGTTTGTTCTCTTTAATAAAGAAGTAATCCCAATGCAAAACCATGGTATACAGACAATGACTTCTGAGTCTCCGAATGTGGAATCAAAAATCTAATCCCTCTGTGCAGCCAAATGGTACTGGACAAAATAACCCACAGAGAAGTGCTGTTGAGGGTGCCTCATCCAGGGTTGGCTTTACACATGCCCCATACCTTGTGCTGGACTTCTGTTCAACAGATCCCTTCTCCCACACCACCCAGAGGATGAGGCCGTACAGCTTAACTGTCCAACACTGTTCTTAATTCCTCACCAATGGGGCTATAAACCAAGCTGCCATGTTGTAAAGTCTCAGAACACACTTTCAAGATGGCTTGAATTTGTGTTTTCCTATGTGGTAATCCTAATTAGCTTGAAATTAGTATAATTTACTGTGTTCTCAACTAGGTTGGTTATGCAGTGTGAACACATCTGGCTACTTGGGAGTGGCACATAACTGAGAATTCCAATTTACCCTTGAATGTGGGTGTCACCTATGCTAATTCCAGCAGTGGAATACAGAGCTGCACCTGCCCCACAGGCTGGCCTTGAGTGAACTCCTCGGGTGCCCCTGCCTTTACTCCCCAGCACATTTACTACTCAGAGGGCCACACAGTGACCACAGGTAAGGAGGGCATTTCCCAGAACACACTGTTTCCCTTGTCTTTTGGATCTGCCAAGTTGCCACCTTCACTCAGATAGGAAGTGCATGCTTGCTGGACTATTTGTAAACGTGCATACTCACCAGGGTTGTAGGCATACACTGGTTCAATATATTCTAAAACACAAACATTTAAATCCATGTTACTATGCCCAGATGCCAAGAATACTAATACTAAGGATTCGAGCTGTCCTACTTTCAAGAAATACAAAGCATGGTTACAAGAAACATGAAATTTCAACTCAAAGACACGGAGATACAGATTGTTTTGTTTTAACCTGAAGAGCAATGCATAGAAAAGCTAGCCAGGAAGACAGCTAGAGACGGACTATTGGTTTTGTTTAAGTGAGGAAATCTTCCAAACAGCTCCCTGACAGCTTGTAATAGCTGAGGGCATCTTTGGCACTTTGGCAGCATGCAACCCGCTTGGTTATGCTGAGCCTCCACACATTTAGAGTTTCGGGGTGCTCCCTCCTCATCCCACCACCATCTCCTAGCAGACATTAGTTTTCATTACACCTTCCCATTTCCCCCCATGGAAGCTGAAGCAGGCCCCTCACAGTCCCAACCAAGCCCCCTTTCTCACGTATGCCACATTCACTCCATTCCTCTCCCAAATGCTGTTTCCCGAGAAGCCAAAACACAGGCACTGGTGTCTAGCTCTTTGCACGTGAGACATATGGGGAATAGCTAAAGCTGTTAAGGGCCTTCTGCCACCAGCCCATAAACTCCTGTAAGGTGGGATGAACTGACAGTGACATGACCCTGACCTGCCCAGGATGAGAAGTGTTTAGGAGCCACAGGTGAAGACCCCCCAGGAAGACAGCAATGACAGTGTGACAGCGAATCTGGCTATGCCGTGTGTCTTTACTCACTCACTGTGTGAAGTGCTCTGTGTAAGGCTGTTTTGTATTTCCCCTTTACCCAGCACTGCAGATTCTCAAGAAAACAGCCCTTAAACAGCCTCACCTTCCTGTAAAGCCCTTCCCATACCTGAGACGGACCCCAAAACAACGGCTCTCCCATCCTCTCAGGGTGCTGACCTTTTTGTATAGCCCTGGCTTTCTCCCTACTAAGTCTCAATTCCTGAGTGTTGGTTTCTGAGTGGACAGCAAATGGACCTGGAGCCACTAACAAAAGAAAACTTGAGCTTTAAGGGATGATGGCCGGCAGTATAAAGGTGTAATGGTATGATGTGGTGGGAGTGTGACTCGTGAAAAAAAAATAACAAAATTCTCGTGACAGATGGTCGTTTAAACATGTCTTACCTGGGTTTGCAACACAGTTTTCAGTTTTTAGACCTGAAACACAAAGATAAAAATTTTAGGCACAACCTACCCGAATAAGTTTCAAGTGGTCTATCGGCAATGTAATCTGTAAACTCTTAGATTATCAGACTTATACTTTAGTGGGATGCAAAATTTCAGGAAAAGTTTTTGTATTCACAGAACAGCCATGGACCAATGGTATAAACCTCGACAAAATACATACCCTATGAGGTTCTCAATTTTACTAGGAAACTGCACATAATGACTGTGGAGGACCCTTTACAGGACTAGCACTTTACATCTTAGTCTATATCTATGTTGAGTTACAAAAGTTAGAGATAGATGTGCTTGTCTAACTTAATTCTCTCTGCAGATAGCAAACATTACCCAATCTTCTACATGATAATTCCGACCCTTAACAAGCATTGCCCAATCTTCTATGGGACATTTCCTACCTTTCTGAGAAAAGGGATCTCAATCATAATTTCAAGATCTTTAACGTGAGTAAAGATTCTCCTCATTCATATCAAAAGACAGTTGGGTCTCTTTCCAAACACACTTCTGCATGTGAGAAAATCTACAGTCTTGGGAGAATAAGAGATTGGCATTCAACAGTCTGTTTCTAATGGCTCTAGACATTTGTGCTGGCGATATCACAGGAAATTATCACCAATATTCCAGTGCTTTCCCTAGGTAAGACAGATGTAAGGGCAGTAGGTCATGAAGAAAATAGGAAGACTTCAGGATAACCCATGGGGGCTGCCCAGGTGCCCTGTGAACATGTGTCTTTGAAAGCCATGGGGGCTGCCCAGGTGCCCCGTGAACATGTGTCTGTGCATCCTCAGTCAGAAAGCAAAGACACGAAGATTTTCTACTTTAGATCCTTTTCCCCATTTACACACTTTGATGGGAGGCAGCCTGGACTGTGAGCTAAAATAAGCCCCTCCTGATTAGATGGCTTTTGTCAGAGTCTTTTATCACAGGAATGGGGAAAGAATACAAAGCACACCAGCTTGTCTAAAACAGAACCAAGACAGAGCTAAAATCAGTTCTGCAGACAACTGCCCCATCTGGACTCAGGCAGGAGGTGCTGAACCACACCTTACCTGGGGGTTAGCGGAGAATTAGGCAAATGCAGATGGTAAGAGTCTATAGACTTTCTAGGTCTATGGAGAAGCAGGGTAGGGAAATAGGAAAAGGCTGGGGTATGGAGAGGGAGGGAGGTTCTCATCCTCACCTACATGAACCCACCTTACATCTTCTGTTTATTGAGTCAAAGGTTTCTGCACCACTAAGTAGATAGCACCCTACAGAAACTACACTAACCTATCATGAACAAGACTATTAAGCCAGATGCATGGCTCATAGGGTAAAGATACTTGACACAGAGGCCTGAGGTAATCTCTAGAATCCATGTAAATACAGAAGGAGGGAGGCCACTCTGGGAGTAGTCCTCTGGTCTCCATGGCACAGCTGTGACATGCATGTCCTCCCAATCATGCACAGACATACAATAATGTTTAACAGATGCCTAGTGACCATGCTCATGATAAAAGCACATCTTTATATGATCTATGCATTATCTTTTCAAATAATTCCTCAAATGTTAGGCACATATAATCTGTCTGATACTACTTAAAATAAAAACTGCCAGGTACTTCTTTCATCCTAGGAGTCCCTGTGGATAAACTTAAGACAGTAAGGGGCACTACGACCTGAGAATCCCTGAGATACCAGACACTGTACCATCCTTACCTTCCACTTTGCCCAACAACTAGCCCAATGGGAGCCCTGATTCAAAGTTTCACATCTGGAAACACACACACACACACACACACACACACACACACACACACACACACAGTTCAACAGATGATAAAACAGCCAGTCTTCAAAGTGAGTTAAAATAACCCTGCAGTCAGTGTTACAATGGTATTAACTGTTCTTTGCCTTAGTGTGTGCTGGATTGAACTACAAATGGTGACTGGAGGTCACCATGAAACTGACATATAGACTCAGCTGGCAACATGGATGCCCTTGCTATATGATCAGTCTACTGAGACACAAAGCTGTGTTTCTGAAGAGAAATCCTACTTAGTGTTTCCTCTGAGGACACATGCATCAGCCACAACTTGTGAGCTCAGTCTTTATATACATGTGGGTATGAGTGACTGCATCTCAGAGACTGACGAAAGAACATGCAGTGTGAGTGATACTGTCTCTACTACCCCTGGTGTATCTATAAACAAATCTATGGGAGGAAATCATTTGTAAAGGACCAGGCTGCCAAATGAAAATTCCTCCTAGTGTCACCTACCAGGCTGGATCTGGGGACACACTTGGAAGCCCAGCATGAAGAATGCCTCCTCCCTCATTACATACACAAACACACCAAACAAAAACCACTGTAAGAAAACCCAACTGTAACATTCTCCCAAGGAATCTCTCTTCAGAGCTGAAGGCTGTCTTTAGATGTTTGTAACCTAAATTCACCCAAGCTAATTTCTGCCTAGGCTGAGTCCCCAGGCTCTTGGGAGTCAGGTTTTGGATGGTCAGGGCAATTGGAAGAAGAACATACATACCACTATGGGCATACTTGCTTTGTTACCATTAGTGTGCAGTGGTCATTCAGATAATGCCTGCTTTTAATTCAGCTAATGCAAATGCATTTCACAAGACCGCAGACAGTAACAGTAACCAGACCAGAAACACCTCTTCATAAAAACAACATATGACAGTTCTATGGCAAATACTCTTGTGGTAGTTTGAATGTAATTGGCCCCCATAAGATCATAGAGAGATACTATTAGGAGGTTGGTTCCTGAGAGGCCTGAGTGGCTAGAAACAAAGGGGAGCCTGCGGCCAACTGCTGACTAGGAACTGTGCCTTGGTTAGATAACTCGGGACTGCATCCTACCTATAGTCATGCGGTGACCTGAGCGACAGATCTCTTCCAGTCAAACCTGACTGAAGTGCTAAGAGACACTTACTCAAAGGATGGAGGCAAGCTGTATCTGGACAACCAACCCACAGCAACTGCAAGGCAAGCTGTGGTTTCCCACCTTGGGGGGGGGGGTCACCTAAGACCATCAGAAAACAGACATCTACATTATGATTAGTAACAGTAGCAAAACTGCAGCTATGCAGTAGCAATAAAAATAATTTTATGGTTGGGGTCACCACAACATGAGGAACTATATTAAAGGGTCACAGCACTAGGAAGGTTAAGAACTTCTGCCTCAGAGTAATTTGTTTTGTGATAAAGATGACTGACACAGGTTCAAGGTCCCAGCCAGTCCTCAGCTAGTCAATAAACACTCATCTACCTACTGCTATGAAGTTATATTTTACAGACAAGATAGAAATTTATATGCAGCTGTCCATAATGGAAATTATCCAAAACATTCAGGGCAGCCTGACTTAATCAACAGGAAGGCTAAGAGGGGAGCTGGGGCTTCTGGAAAGGCATTCTGCCCATGAAGGGCAGCTTAAGTTCATGTGCTGAGATCCAGCAGCTGCGCTTCATCTGACCTGTGGATTCCAGACTGACCAGGGCCCTGACAGGGCATGCTGACTCCTGCAGTATCATCCAAATACACATTTCCTTCTGGCTCCCATCTCCGATGCTTCACCTTGAATGGAGAGAGTGATTTCCAAATCCAGTGGGTGATGGTCTGGGAGGACTCTTGGCACAGGGCTTATTTCTTCCAAACTTTTGGGGTGTCAACTCATAATGGTGAGTTAGGGGTCACTTCTCACCTGCCCTCAGTACTCAAATTGATTCAATCCTAGATCATTTCAAACATAGAAATTTCCATATTCCCAGGAAATTCTACCATGTATCAGTTAGAAACAATGAGACACATGCATTTAATAATCACTCTGGTCTGGGTGGAATTGTGTGTTTTCTCAGTGCAAAAGGAACACAAAACCTTAGGCATGTCAGGCAAGCCCTCTGCCTATATCCCCATCCTTGGGTAGTTGTATAAGAAATAAGTCTGGACAGCCCAATTAACTTATCTTCTCTCTCCCTTTTGATGGCTTAGCAGGGATCTGGCTTAGCATGCTTCAGTGAGCCCAAGGCCAGCCTGATCTACAGAGCTAGTTCCAGGACAGTCTCCAAAGCAATACAGAGAGACTCTGTCTCAAAAAAAAAATAAAATAAAAATAAAAACAAAACAACAACAACAAGAAAAAAATGGGCTTATGCCAGTTACCAGAGTCCAGGGGCTCCTTTTGCTTAACAAGGCCCATTTCCCACCAGGGAACACTTGCTATATCCTGATCTCCTGACTCTGTAAGTAGGCAAAGCATTATATAGAATTCCCTAACCCCAATCAGAAACATGGCTGAAACCCAGGCCATTATGCCCTGGGTATTCGTTAAGATGATTAGGTTCAGGGATGGCGCATGCTGTTTCTCTCTTGTTAGTCATCTTCTGTAGACCTGTTGCATTTGCACTACAGGGCCATGAGGAATCCTACACTGGGGCTTTTTCTTGGGAATTCATAACTGACCCACAACCCTCCAAATCCAGTTGCAATTATCCGATGCTGTCACTTTTAACAATTAGAGGAGTTTAGTCTGATTGCACAGCTGACATTCCATTGTTATGGAAATTTCCAGAAAAACATCTAAGTTGGTTGACCTGCTATAGCCTGCCTCTCTTCAGGAAGGAAACGGGTTTTTATCCTTTCCTTGGATTGAAAGCAAGACTATCCAGGAACTAGCTTCTCTATTTCCTAGCAAATGGAACTGGGTTTTTTTTTTTTGTTTGTTTGTTTGGCTATCCAGTTTCTGTAATATCCACACTATTATTTTCATGTCAGAAACCACAAGAGAGTTCTCAACCATAATAAAAGACTGCTAGCACTCTAAGTGTAGTAAATTTCAATACCTTTTAGAAACATTGCCTTTTCTCATCCAGGACTATACTTTTTGTTTGTCTGTTTGTCTCTCCCCCCAGTGCTAGAGGATGGTTGGTACCCAAGGGCTTGCTAACAAGTGTTCTATCATTCAGACACACCTAAAGCTTGCCTTAGGAAGTTTTTGAACTTGCATTCCCATTGGTTATCTCTAGGTGGCAGCAGAGGACTCCAGTTTATGGTCAAATCCTGCACTCAGCCGCATTAGCTGACATCAGAGCTCTGCAAACATGGTATGTGTGAGCCCCCACAAAGGCCTCCTTTGTGGCTGGTCTGGACATTAACCTGTAAAAAGGCCTCCCAGAATCCTCATCCTGTACAGACAGGCTCACAACGAGCCAGAGAGCCTCGAGCCCCAGCTCATTCACAATCAACCCACTAGGCCATCTTTCATCATATCTTTAGTTCTATCACAATTCAACTCTCAAACATGGGATCTGTGGATTTCCCTGCCTACCACAGCCCATCAGCTAGGCACTAGTGCTAACCATGGTTGGTATCCACAGCTTTTACACAACCAGGGCCTCCATACATGTCATTTGCCTGAATGCATCAGGGGCATCAAAATAGGTATGATTTCTATAGTTCAGCTGAGCCTGGGATTCTGACTGTGATGTTCTAGAGAAGTTAAACACAGTGTGGGGAGGAAGGGAGACGTGGTTTATAGTTCCCTCAGCTGCATGCTCCCTTTCTCCAGTTTAACCTTCTATGGGCTCAGTTACCAGTGGCCAAGTAAAGTCTGAAAATATTCCTTCGAGAGAGATGACATTTGCAGAATTCCTAGTATACAATTGTGATTATTTTATTATTATTAAACTCTTACTGTACCTAATTTATAAACTTTCTCAAGCATGTGTATGCATAGAAAAATACCCAGTACTTGCAAGGTTTGATATTATCCATGGTTTCAGGCAACCACTGGGAGTTTGGGAATACATCACCCCCGTGGATAAGGGAGAGGTAACAAGTAACTCAACTGCGGCTGCTTTTAAGCCACTGTGGTACAGGAGGAACAGGATAAAGATGTGTCTCTGGTATAAGCTGGCTCTGGCTGTCCTGGCTTGGGGTCGTGGCCAATAGATAGAGGGTGAAGGGGGTGGATGCTTTTTAACATGATCTGTTGTTCATGTTGCCATCCGTGAGAAGAACAATGCTTGGAATTACACTCCAGTGCAGGTCAGGAAAGTGGCAGACAGGTGCCTAGAGTGACAAAGGAGACTTTCACCCTCAGCAGCAAGTAACTGCAGGAGGGAAAATGTAAGGGCCCACAAACACTTCCTGAAAGCCTGCAACCTCGGCCCAGTCAAGGGCCGCATGCATCCCCCAGTCAACTTCAAGTATGTCAGCTTCCCAACTGAGTGGGCTTCTTGTCAGCACTGTCCTACCCACCCCTTACCCTGTACACTGGGCACGCGGAGTCAAGGTCTACAGTTTGCCCTATGTCAGAGGCCAACTGTATAGTATTCACTGCTAGACCCAGCAGCAGGGGGTTTGGGTTCAGTTAGTCATGCACACCCAAAGGCCAGCTCTTGGCTAACTGTCTTGCAGGAGAACTCGAGGTATTGCATACGGCAGGGAAGGAGTCAATGTCTTCTCAAAAGTCTCTAAGTGGCCTTTAGCCCCACCCTCCTTAATTACAAGGAGGAAATGACAGGTGAGACACAGTAACTCAACAGACCGCTGTAGGGCAGATCAGTACCAGAGTCCAATGCTGCTTCCAGCCTTCGCACAGAGAGGACTTGGATAAATGACACCACTTTCAGTGGTTTAAAATCATGGCGTTCTGCCCCAGGAACTTAGGTCCCTTCCTAATCCTCATGCTTGCATGCACTTCACCATCTAGGGCTTTGTTGAACCAGGCAGTGCTGGGTACAGTGCCTCCCTCATTCTGCATTTAGCTCCTTACAAAGAAACAGCTACAAAGGGATCTGGCCACTCTCATAGGAGGGAGGAGAATGGGTTTTTATTAACCCTGTATTCACATACAGCAAGGCACAAAACCTTAGCATTTCAGAATGCTGCAAATAAAGAGAATGTCCTCCCTAAGACTTCCAGAATAAAGTGGTCGGCTCTCAGGCTGAGATCGATGCAGCTCGGCACTGAAGAACCTGTGGCATAAAACAGGAACAAAGACAACAGCAAAAACCAAAACATGGAAAAACCCACACCAGGACTCATCCATGGATCAGAGTGGTTCTATATCTCCGTGTCAAGGACCTCAGAGCCTCAGCTGGAGGGGGTGGTAAAGCCTTCCTGAGGACCAAGTGTGAGTGTTGTGTTGACAGTGTGCAGAAAATGGTCACTATAGCTTTCTTCACTCAGATATCTATAGCCTGAGGACTACCTTCCCTATGGAGACCGCTCCATCTGAGATGAGCTAGTCTCGCCCCCTTGATCCAGCTGCACACCATAAACCCAGGCTCCCAGTTTATCAGTATGTAATAACGCTGCCTCCTGGTTCAGCTGTATGCAGTACCCCCTCCTCTCTGTTCAACTCAAATTAATAATCATGCTGAGTTTCTGGGGTGCTGGGATTTCTCCATTGAGAGCCAGACCACTCACTTCCAACTATTTATCTGTGTCTGCCTGCCTGCCTGCCTTGTCTTGTCTTCATTCCCTCATTGCCTCTCAGTCAGGTCCAAGTCCCTAGAGCCATCCACGCAAGGATGTGCCAGGCTACAAAAAACAAAACAAAACAAAACAAAAAAAAAAAACCCGATTATTTGAGATTAAAGGCAGATCTTTGACACACACGCTCTTAGAAAATTGCCTCAAGCTATCATTTCTCAGAAAACTGTGGTCAACACTTGGCCTCACCCCAAACAAAGGAGTAACCTGGGGAAGATGTGCAAATTTGAGGCACAGCCTCAGAGTGGAGGTACGCGGTGTGGAGACACCACAGGACCTTCAGTGGGCCTGGGAGCATAGCCTGGAGCAGACGAGGGAATCCCAGAGGGTGTGTCCAGGGGATGGGAAGACGAATGTACAGAGAGATTGCTATTTCTGTTAAAGGACCTGGGGGTGAATTATTAATACATTATTTTAAAATGAAGTCATAAAGTCATCCCAGCAAAGGAAGTACTAAAGGGGTAAAAATAACAAAACCACCACCACCAAACACAAAACAAAAACCAAAAAAAAAAAAACAAACAAAAAACAAAACCCTACCAATCTACTGGACCAAGAGCATGTGTGAGGAAAAGGGTAGTCACTAGACCATTAGTGAAGGAAGCAGCAGCATCAGACACTTTGCAGTTACTGGCCTAACAACTCTGGCTTTTTTTTTTTTTTTTTTTTTTTTTTTTTGACACAATCTCTTTAAATAGCCCAGGCTATACACAAATTCAAAACAGCCCAGGCTAGACACAAATCCAAAGATCCTCGTCCTTGTCCTTTATGTGGGGATCACAGATATGCACCAGCGTACTAGGCTAATTCTCACTCCCCTTCTTGTATTGCAGAGGCTGCAAAATCGCTTCCCTCCTTCCTAGGCCTTTCCTGCAGTTAAGTGACCAAGACTTAGTTCTATTAGTGGCTGGTATAGCTTTCGCTTTCTTGAGAAATAGGCAGATCCAGCTGTCAGTCTCCCTTCTGTTTCCATCTTGGATGCAATCTGAGGCCTGGATACGAATTACAATGCAAACGTGAATTCCCAAACAGTGGAACAGAAAGATAGCTTAAGTTACTAATGCCATAGAGGAACCACGGTGCCCTACAGCCTAGTCTCAGTCAATGAAAACTATTAGGGTCTTGTGCAAGCATGGTGAGCACTCTCTCACTCTCTATTGCTGAGATACAGTCTCACTAAGTGCCCAGGGTGGCCTTGAATTCTCTCTGGACTCCACCCTCCTGCCTCAGCCTCCTGAGTAGCAGGGATTACAAGCCTGTATCATTGGTCCAGAACAACAGAGAAGCCTTAAATAATACATGGTGTAGAAAACTGAATACCAGACATTTTAGACGATGCCTGAAAAAAAAATGTAAATCCAGAAATAATAAAGCATGCATGATGGTGTTACACCTGGAAAAAAATAGCTAAAATGGATGCCAGTGAGGCTTGGAGACAGGGTGGGGCTGTTTTACTGTGTGACTTGTAATGGGATTTAACACCAGAACTATTGCCATTTTAGACCAGATCATGCTTTGTTTTGACAGGGTCCTAAGAACTGTTTAGCCATTCCTAGCCAATAACAACCCCACCTCTTTCAGAGCTGTGGCAACCAAAAGTGTTTCTGAACATTGCCAAACCCTGCAGGGCAAAACGGGTTCTGCTTCACAGTACTGTTTTGTTGTTTAACTTTAGCAATTAGGTTATGTGCATTTGACCACACCTGAGTTGTGGATAAAGAGACAGAGGGAGGGTGTGAGATAGAAACTGCTGATGTCATCTCTCCTTGCAAGCCCATTCCATTCTCCCAGACCTCTCGGGCCTGCACCCCACCCCTCTCCTCCCAGACCTCTCGGGTCTGCACCCCACTCCTCTCCTCATACAAACCCAGGTCATGGCCGAGACACTCACCCCCAAGAAATGAGCAGTCATAGTAGCTGCAGGTCTTATTTATGCTGTGGAGAGTAAGGTTCTTGCCAGTTCCTTCCCGAGACACTTGAAAAACCTCACTCAGAGGTATTAAAACAACTCTCTCACTTTCTTTATCAAAAAACCTTTCCACAGCAACCCCAAAGCAGGTGTGGATGGTTAGCACTGGTTGGCTGTTAGCTGTGGGGGGTGTGACTGAATATGCCAGTGTGAAGTTGCCCAGCCGGGCTTGGTTTTTCTCTCCGAAAGTGAAGGAAATGCCTGGACTTGTGAGGTACACCGTGTCTTTGTAGCTGTCCTCACAAGGTTTCCTCAGCACCTGCAGGGCCCTTGTCAGGTAAAAATGAAAGGCTTTGAAGGGAAAGTCATAGACGTAACTTTTGCGGGACTGGCCGGCCATCTTCACAGCTCTGTTGAACTCGTGGTAAAAAGGAGTCTGCTCTCGGGCCTCGGTCACGAACGCCATCAGGGCTATTCCATAGGAATCCTTGAAGTTCAGGGGGAGGGGGATCTGAGCCTTCCGGGCTTCCCACATGATCCCAGCATTGTCCCACACAGTCTGCAGGAGCTCATGGCTGGCGATTTCCTCCCTGAGCAGCTGAGGAACAAACTTCATTTCCATCCGGTTGCTGCACTTAGGGTATTCGTCATCAAATGAATTCTCCGCCATGTCTAACACTTCCGCTTTGACCTTCAAAGCAAAAGGGAAGGAAGGAACGCTCTTGAAGTCACAATTTTATTGGGTGTGATTTCCTCTCACAGTATTATGCCCACTCTCATCATCCCCTTGCTATAAGGAGATCTTCTCAGCTTTCATGCTCATATGAAAGGGTAAATGTCAATGGCAAGATATGGGGAGGAACTCTGCCTATGACTCATTCACTTGAGTTCTGTGGTACACACGGGGCTAAAGACCTCAGTGGCGGTCCAGCCTGAACAGTGAGTGCTCTTACCTTCATTCCCTCTAACGCTCAAGACTGTTTTGTAGAATCTGAAGTATACATGGTGACAAAATACTACCTTTCCCTCTGTCCACACTCCTCCATTCATATAGCATGGGTAGGACTGGTTTTGTCCTTCCAGCCCCAAGTAAAAGCAGATGGCCCCTCTCCAAAACCCCACCTCTTTTCCTTTAAAACTGTAAGCCTCGGGCTACTGTTGGCTTAGAAACTCCAAAAGCCGTTGTTGTAATCCCATTGGGGGGGGGGGGTAAAGGAAATTAATGGCACTTGAAAGGGAGACAAGGCTGTAAGGCTGAGAATGTCAACTGCTTACTTGATCCCTTTGTTTGGATGCCCAAAGATCTGTCATCCATGTCTAACACCAAACATATTAACTTACTGCCTAGAATCAGTAGTACAAACCATCTGCTCACACGGCCGTTTGCAGAGTCTTCCATCTCGACCTGTCTGTCTCAGGCCTCCCGTATGGCTGTCTCATTTCCAGGCCTCACAAACATCTCCTTCCCATGTGCTGGCACTAACTGCTCTCTGTGAATTACCTCACATGCAGCTCACAGTACCCCCTTGGGATAGGTATGAGCACGAGTAACCTTCTGTTTCATTTTACCTTAAAGGTTTAGTTTTTATTCTATGTGCATTAGCGTTTCTGTGGACACACGTAAATCACCACCAGAGTGCCTGGTGCCCAAGGAAGTCAAAAGACAGTGTAACTGGTGTTACAGGTGGTTTGTGAGCCATGGGGCTGCTGACAACGATCCCAGATTCTCTGCGAGCACAGCAGGTGCTCATAGCCACCAAGTCACCTCTCCAGCCCCAAGCCTTCCTTCCACCTTTCTCTTTAAAGATAAGGAAACTAAGATACTTAGACACGGTATTGGTATTTGACCACAGACACTCTGGTTCCAGCGTTCTCTACCTTCTTAACCAAAAGGTTCTGTTGCTTCTAAAGCATTAGAAGGGTCCAGTGATGAGGCCCACTGACACTTATGTAACACCATTAAAAGAGTTTCATTTTGCTAAACAAAAGAAAGCATATTACCAATGAGACAACTAAGTGGGCCCTAAGCCAGCACCGGAAATTGATTGCTAACCACAGTACTTTCCCCCTGTGTGTCTTCGAGCCCCTTGCCCTCCTGGGTCTATAGGTCAGTTTCTTGACATTGGGATCTGAGCTTCAGAGATCAAGTCCCTTGGGTCTCACAGTTAAGAAATGCATTTTGCTCTGTAGCACAGAATGTCCCAGAGTTCAGCCTCAGCACCAAGCATGATTTATCTTGAAGACTGTAACATAAGACATCAGCCCAAAAACACCTCCCACACTCCTCACACCATATCAGGGTTGATCCAATATGTCCCTGTCTTTTCCCTGTGCCTCAGAGCAGTCTTCACATGTCTAATTTTAGACAGCAAGCCGTCCTGGCCAGACACCACAGCTGATTGTGTGTTCCGAACAGAACGTGCCCTGCAGTGGCAAAGTTCCGAAATGCCATTGCCATTCAGGACAGATGAATGGACACTAAAGAGCAGGTACAGAAGATTTGGTGAATGAGCTGCTAATGTTTTCTTCCTCTGACGTATCCACCTAAACAAATGCTCACGGTGATGAAATTTGACTACCAAAACTTCATTTCAAGTGTGTATAAATGACCTTGGTGTTTCAGAAATTATGGTATGACCCAGTGGCCCTCCTCTAGATATACACCCAAGTGAAGCATATTTTCACAATAATGCACAATTCTGCCCTGCAGTGTCGCACAGCCTCGCTAATTCACGTCCACTTACACAGGTAAAACTCACGTAAATGCCTCATAAGGCTAGCAACAGTGTTTGGATAGATCTCTAGAGAGAAATAATTATCTAAAAGGATTGAAAGCATTCAAACGGAAACCCATACCTAGATGTTCCTGGCAGTGCTATTCATAGTCACTCAAATGCCTGACTGATAAACGAAATGTGGCCGGCCATGTAATGGTGTTAGTATTTATACACGAAAAAAATGAGATACTAATACATGACACAACATGAATGGGCTTTGAAAACAGTCTGCTAAGCAAAAGAAGCCAAGCATAAAAGACCATATTGTGCGAAGCTCCACTCTGCTGAACTGTCCACACATCTCAATGGTTGCAGGAGAATGGGGGAGCGGGAGGAGGGAACTGACTTCAGATCAGCAAAGCGCTTCTGAGAGAGATGCAAATGCTATGCAACTCCACAGTTACTGTCGGTCAGCATAAAGACACTAAAAACCAATGAAGGACATGGTCTAAAATGTTTTCAAGGGTATCTCAATTATATGTCTTAGGGTTTCTACTGCTGTGAAGAGACACCATGACCATGGCAACGCTTATGAAGGAAAACATTTAATTGAGGTGGCAGCTTACAGTTTGAGAGGTTCAGTTGTAATTACGGGATGGGGGAGGGGAGCATGGCAGATCAGGTGCTGCAAAAGGAGCTGCTACATGTTGACATGCAGGCAACAGGATGTAGATCTCATTGGGCATGGCTTGAGCATATATGAGACCTCAAGCCCGCCTCCACAGTGACACATTTCCTCTAACAAGACCACATCTACTCCAACAAGGCCACACCTCCAGTTAGTGCCACTCCCTTTGGGGTCCATTTTCTTTCAAATCACTACATTCTACTTCCTGACCCCTCCTCCCCAAAACCTTGTAGCCATATCATAATGCAAAATTCATTCAGTCCAACTTCAAAGTCCCCATAGCCCATTACAGTTTCAAACTTATTTAAAAGTTTAAAGTCTTAACTATAATCTCTTGTAAAACAAAACAAAACAAAACCCCCCCAAAAAAACCCAGACCACATACTTCCAACATACAATGACACCAGATACACATTACCATTCCAAAACGCAGGGAAAGGAGCATAATAAAGAATACTAGAGCAAAGCAAGACCAAAATCCAGCTTAGCAAACTCCAAACCCTGCATCTCCGTGTCTGATGTCAAAACGATCTTCAGATCTCCAACTCCTTTCAACTTTGTTGACCACAACACACCTTCCTCTTGGCCTGGTTCTTCTCCCTGTTAGCAGCTCTCCTTGGCAGGTATCCAGTGGTTCTGGCATCTCCAACATCTCCAGCATCTGGGGTTCTCCAAGGCAATGCAGGCTTCACCTTCACACAGCTTCACACCGTGGCCTCTCTGGGCCTCCATTCAGGGACACCCCTGACACATGCCTGGTCTCGGGGGCTTTCCTTAGTCAGGGAGGAAGGTTCCATAATGCCTTTCTTCTGTCCTTAGAGTTCTATCTTTAAATTAGAGCTAGAAGCACATGCTGAAGCTGCCAAGTTCTGCTGCTCCCTGGGGCTAGAACATGGCCCCCTCGTTCAATTACACCGTCACCAGTTTTCTGTCCTTCATTGCCTAAGCTTGGCTGTCCTTAAACTGGATCTGTAGACCAGGCTGGCCTCGAATTCAGAGATCACCAGCCTCTGCCTTCCCAGTGCCCCACCACACCTGGCTCTAAGCTTTTCTTTCATTCATTTTCACAGTTGGAACCCCAGTGGGGTGGGACCTTTCCCCGAGTTCCACTACTCGTTCATTTCATTTCTGAACCTGTTTATCTCCTTGAGCACAGGACTTCACTCCATTCCATTTCTATGTGCTCTCTTCTCCTCAAACATTCTTCCTTGCTCAGCTCGCTCCTTTTTCATTACAAATCTTCATTAGAGTTAACACTAGCAACCACACAACTGGGTCTATACTAGGCTGTTTTGAGATTTCTTGTGCCAACTGAATTAATCCAAAACTTTTCACTTTACCTTAGGCACACTTTTCCAGCAAGGTCAACAAGCAACCATATTTTTCACCAAAATATCACAAGAATGATTTCTAGGCAACATACTAAAATCCTTCCCCTCTGAAACGTCTTGAGCCCCAGCTTCCCACAGTTCAAATCACCCCCAGTGCCACTGCCTTCCATGTTTCTACTAGGGTAGCCCATTAAGCATCATTTAAAGCATTCAACTGTTTTCCTAATCCATAGTTCCAGGGTCCACATTCCTCCAACAAAAGTGTGGTCAGGCCTATCACAGCAATACCTCAGGCTCTGGTACTAATTTCTATCTTAGGGTATCTATTGAGGTGAAGAGACGCCATGACCAAAGCAACCCTTATAAAGAAAAGCATTTAACTGAGGTGGCAGCTTACAGTTTCAGAGGTTTGGTCCATTATCACAATGACGGGGAGCATGGCAGCATGCAGGCAGTCATGGTGCTGGAGAAGGAGCTGCTGCATGTTGATATGCGGGCAACAGGAAGTAGACTGTCTTACTGGGCATGGCTTGAGCATATATAAGACTTCTAAGCCTGCCTCCCCAGTGACACACTTCCTCCAATGAGATGACACCTACTCCAATAAGGCCACACCTCCTAATAGTGCCACCCCCTTTGGAGGCCATTTTCTTGTAAGCTACTACAGTATCTCAAGTTAAAGAATGTGAAGGCAACAGAACATACTTTCTAGAGAAAGTGGATTAAAGCTCTAAAAATGGATACAGCTTTTAAGGTTTAGGATATCTTAAAGAAGACAGGTGCGATACAATACATACAAAAAGTATTAGTTTTTAAATATTGAATGGCAAATAAAAATCACAAAATCTCTATCAGCAAAAAGAAACAAGGAAATAGCTATTAAGTAGTTGAATAACAAACATGGAATCAAACACTGTGGCATTATTTGGAGAACACACAATATTTCTAGAATATATTTATTGACATAAATTCTGTGCAGTATGACTTGAAGACAAGGTTAAAGGTACTATGTCGAGTATTAACCTTTTTAAATAAATTATGCACACAGAAAGAGGAGCCACGTAGGCTATCTGCATGATCCTCTAAGAGGGTGGGGGAGTTTATGATTGAATTTTTCTGTCCTCTTCATTTAATTTTAATTTCTTAACTTTCTACACTTAACATATGTGTCACCTGCAAAAGGAAGGAAGAGCCACTTACAACAAACCAGTTTGCCTAGTCGGGTCTCTCTCAGTCCACAGAGATTCCTCCGGCCATGTTACAGGCTGCCATCCCAGTGAGCACATTCCTAGCATTACCTGGAAGATGTCCATTAGAGTCATGGCTGCCAGCAGCGTGGTGACCATTTCCAAATGTCCCATCTTCACTTTTCTCTTCTAAATGGGAATGAAAGATTTTAATTCAGTAGAGTTAACAAAGAGTTTTTGGAAAAGAGATCAAGATTAACATGCTATATATATTTTCATTGTGTGCAGACACTGTGATGGTAGAAGAGATTACCGAATACATTCCTAATGCAAGAGCCATTCAACTTTATCTAGAGGTCGAACAAAACCTTAGGGAACTTCAGTGCTTCCAAGATCAAATCCATCCACCTCCAAACAACTCTAGACACAACTCTTCCATCAGGGTCCCTTAGGCACAAGTTTTCCCATCTGCCCTGAACATGCACAGACAACAACACACTAAAACCACTACGCTCTCAAACTGCTCTGCTAGCTCCCAGTTTCTAAGAACTGTCTAGAAATCCTGCATAGCTTCCATTCTTGCACCTGCCAGGCAAGTTAGAGCATGCCCATTAGGGTGGGAGGGAATGGATGAGGTCAGCAGCAGGACAGAGTGCAGTACCTGAGGTGACCTCCTTCCTCCAACTCCTCATGACCACCGGAAGCCAGAGACTGAGCAAGTGTTCTGGAGTTGACTGAGGAGCCCTGGGAGGGAGCGGTTCTAACTAGATCCCAGCAGTCTACTGGCTGAGCATCCAGTATCCATTCCTGTAGTTGTGGCAGCATAAGGGGTAGACAGGAGGGCAAGAATCCTCACGGACTGAAGCTGTCCAGAGCCATTAACCAGCTCAATTAAGAGATGCCTGTGTTGGCCTCCAGTCTCGTATACATGTACTTCAATAACGCTGCCATCGCTGTAACTCAAGAGAAACCTCCGTTTCCCTCTATTTTGCCAATCGACTTAGACTAGATTCTGAAAGAGGAAATGAATGGCACAGGGGACAGAAGAGTAGACTTTCTCTTTGTAACTCATTTTGGCCCCAGGTTCCTGTCTCTCTTCAAAAGCAGTTCTTTTGTCTGGCACTATTTAAAATATCTGTAGCTATTTTAAAATGCTAGCAGTGTCAAACTTCCCTCTCAAAAAAAAAAAAAAAAGAATAAAAGGAATATAACTTAGGCAGCATGTGCCAAGCCAGCTGTGGGCCAGAGATCTCCTGCTCTTCAATTCAGTAGTCTGGATGCAAATAAATCAAAATGCTTACCTGGTGTTTGTGCCTTTGCAGGGAGTTTAAATGATGCCTCGGCCACTCTGACCCCCACCCTCAGCTGTGGCGAGAGTCTCTCCAGGATGGGATGTTGTTGACAGTGAGAGCTGCCTGGGAATACTTTTCTTTTTATAACACCCCTAGCGGTGGCTTGGCAGTGGCACATTACCCCACTTGTGTCCTGCTATTTATATCTGGTCCCCACTCTGCCCTGGACCCACCGCTGCTAAGGCTTTAAATCTCCAAGAGGCTCGAGACTCAACAACAATGCCCCTGCCATGTTCACTTCTGAGCCTGGCGATGGACTCCCTTCTGAAAGAGTCACTCCCAACACGGACCTGTTGACGGGAAGGCTTGACTGTCCTCTATTAGATGACACCAGTAATGAAGAGGGCTTGTTTGTTAAACCCTGTCACGGTGGGGTGGATGGTGGCTCTCACCACTCAACTGGCTGGCTGTATTTCAGGTACCATGCCAGGTGTTGAGGTACGCCAATGAGCAAAGTTCTCAAGAGCGTTCACAGCTAATTAATAAAATAAACCAACATGTGTATGTACCAGGAAAGAACTGCTAAGAATAAACAAAGTCCAGTGGGAACGCTGAGGAGGAAGGGAACTGGGAATGCCTCCATCTAGAACTCCAGAGTAAGGCACAGGTGCTGGCTACATTTCTGTCAAATCGACACAAGCTAGAGTCCTCTCAGAAGAGGGAGTCTCCGTTAAGAAAAAGCTAGTAAAGATCCAGCTGTAGGCAGACCTGTAGGGCATTTTCTCAATTAGTGATTAAGGCCCAGGATCCTGTGCTGTTTGAGTTCTCACCCTAAATTCCCTCAATGATGAACTGTTCCTGCAAGTATGAGATGAAATAAACCTTTCCTCCCCAGGTTGCTTTTGGTCATGAAGTTTTATCACAGCAACAGAAACCTTAACTAAGACAAACTCAACAACTCTGAAGAACACCTACAACCTTCAGGGACTACAGATAAAAACAACCCTGAGATGTCCTAGCTAGGGTCACTGTTCCTGGGATGAAAGACCTTGGCCAAAGCAACTCGGGGAGGAAAGGGTTTATTCCTCATCACTCACTGTTCACTGCTGGAAGAAGTCAGGACAGAAACCCAAGCTGGAGGCAGGAGCTGATGCGGAGGCCGGGGATGGGAGCTGCTTACTGGCTTGTTGTTCCTCATGGCTTGCTCAGCTTCTTATAGAACCCGGGACCACCAGCCCAGGGGTGGTATCACCTACACTGGGCTGGGCCCTCCCCCACTAAGAAAATATCCTACAGGCTTACCTATAGCGGGATCTTATACAGGCTTTTTTTTTTTTTTTTTTTTTTTTCAGTTGAGGCTGTCCTCACACGACTGTAGCTTGTGTCAAGTTGACAGAAATCTAGCCAGCACAGACATCAAGTTACATGAATAGAAAGCTAATAATGACTACTCAGAATATCTCCAAGTGTAATAAACTGAAATACGTTTACATGCTGAAATTTCATGTAGTGTTCAATGAATTAACATGGAACTATATAGGTAAATCTCACAAACAAAATTTGTATGTACACATTACTTGACTTTATATATAGAGTTCAAAAGTCAAGGAAAACAAGTCTGGAAAAATTGCTCAATGGTTAAGGGTTCTTACTGCTCTGACAGAGGACTCAGGTTCAATTCCCTTATAAACTGCCTTATAAAATGAAGTCCCAGGGGACCTAATGCCTTCTCCTGACCTCTGTGGATTCCTGTATGCATGTGGTGTGCAGACAGACACTTGGTTGTTCACACATATACATAAAAAATGAAAGCAAAACAAAGAATCAGCACAATTCACATCAGCTGTGAAGACTGGAGACAGAGACCATATATCTTCCCTCCCTCCCTCCTTCCTTTCTTTGATTGGTTTTTTGAAACAGAGTTTCTCTGTGGTGTCTGCACTCTGTAGACCAGGCTGGCCTTAAATTCAGAGATCCCCCTGCCTCTGTGCTGGAAGGCCTGTACCACCACTGCCCAACTAGACAATGTTTCTTAATTTAAAGAATCAAAACATCTGACTTCTAATGACATAGGTGTTATGTCACAGAATACCCAATAGTAAAGCGCTACTTCCCAACCATCAACAATAATGTCACACAGAATCTATCAGCCTTAGAGCTTTATGGCACAGTGATTTGAAATTCTACCACTAACAATGCACTGATAATGTGATTTCCATCACTCACGCTAATAGTTTCATTAGGGCCCAGTGTGTTCACGTTCTGAATCTGTGTTGCATGAAATCACATAGTGTTCTTGGTCTCGAAATTCTATCATTGTACTGAAGCACAGAAAGAAAGCACTGTCACCCACTGTCTAACAGCCGTCACAACCATTTTCACGGTATCCACAATCATGCTCACGGTACACTTGCAAGTGCCATAGATGTAACTTATACAATCAAAACATTCACTCATACTATCTCAGGACTCTAGAGTAGTGTCAGTTTCTCCCTCTCATGTTAGGTGTAGGAATAGTGTGGGATGAGGAGGAAGTGTTTGTTTCAGCGTTAGTTTTAGTGCTAGTGTTACTATAGGGGTTAGGATTGCCTGGGTATTCCCATTAGGTTTGGCTTTCAGTTTTGCAATAAGCTGAGGATAGGGATAGGTTTAGGGTTAGTGTTAGTGTTAGGGTTAGGGTTAGTGTTAGGGTTAGGGTTAGCGTTATGGTTAGGCTTAGCAGCAACGTAGTTTTACTTTCTCTTACTTGTCACAGCATGATGCTGAGAAACAGCCCTCCAACTTTACCGTCGCAGCACTCTACCACGTTTGGAATACATTCACTGCTTAAACATTATGTGTGTCTGCTCTGACACTGAGAGTGCTCTTTCACTTTGTCATTGTGCTGAAACGTGTGTTTGATATCACTGTGACAAGAAGTGTCAGATTTGGACACAGCTAAAGTCCTTATTCAATGGGCGAGACTACTCTCACTAGATATTAGGCTTAGTTCTGGGTACAAATTACATTGTAGTATATTATTCAGTTCGTGAAAATATACCAAGTTATATGCTTACATGTGTTTTTTCTGTAACATACATGCTACTTCGATGAAGCACTAAGAATTGTCATGGGACACTCTTCAAGTGCTTGCTTAGAAAATATGTCTCAGGCTGGAGAGATGGCTCAGTTGTTAAGAACACTGGCTGCTCTTCCAGAGGACCCAGGTTAAGTTCCCAACACCCATGTGGCAGCTCACAATTGTCTGTAACTCCAGTTCCAGGGGATCTGATGCCTTCATACAGACATACAGACAGATGAGACACCAATACACATAAAATAAAAATAAATCTTAAAAAAATAAATAAAACTAAAAACAGGAAATATGTCTCTGTGGCAGAAATTTTGCCAACTTCTGTGCCAACATCTCCAGGTACTTTACCTACTGACCCATCTTCCTGGCATGTTATCATCATCTTGGTTTTAGTTTTAAGAACTGGATTGCTGGTAAGGAGAAAAGTGTTACGTTCCCTCTGCCAGTTTAAATCCTAACCCCAGTGGTGGCTACACAATAACATGTATTTGTTCAAAGTCCGTAGAGCTTACAATCAAATTGTGAATTTTACCCATGCAGAGCAAGCCCAAATTCTGATCGTTTTAAACAGACAACAACAACAAAAATCAAGATCTTGGTCAGGTACTCTTTGAAGTTCCTTTGGGATCCACACAGATATGCGATACCACCCCAGCCAGGCACTTGCAATACTGCAGTAACCCAGAGAAGAGCTACAGACCTGAGGGGGCCTGGGGGGGCTGTGGTTATGCTGAACACCCCCATCTGTGATGAGGAAGGGAAGCTCCTGGGGAAGAGTTGCCAGACCAAACGATGCCACAAATTACCACCAGAGGGCAGCACGAGAACACACTCTCCACTCCAGTGGCTGGACTCTGGCAGAAAACTCTGAATTTGTCATAGTCAAAAAAAGATTGCTTCACCTAACTACATTTCCACTGTAAAAATTCATGTTTCTAGCATGAGTGGACAGGGAGGCTTCTGAACTGAGCTGATTTCAACACGGAGAAATAGTTTCCACCCTGTGCCCGTTGCCACTCTGATACAGAGAAAACTGTACTTTGTTTTCTGGTGTTCTGAATGTTAGCCTAGTCTCTGCAATGGTGACATTTAATGGTAATATTTTCTACGGATTTACTGACACCCACCTGTAAGCCCCCTCATCACAGCCTCCCCACACTGGGAATTCAAAGTGAAAATGTTTCTCATGTTCCCTCAACCTCACTCCACCAGCTTGACACAGTTCCCTTCCCCCTTGCTTGTCTTCTCACAGCTGGCTCCGCCCCAGTCAGCTCTGGGCTCACTCTCAAAGGGGTCCCCGGGAACCCACCAGCCATGCTGGCCATGGAAACAACTGGACATCCATCTTTACTCTCCTAACCCCCCAGTCTGTAACTGACCATCTGGTATGGCCTCCCCTTTCCCTCTGCCCACATTCCAGCAGATTACACACATTTTCTCCTCCACCACTCCATGCCTTCCTCTCAACTGCCAACTCTTACAAGAATTCTCTGGGAACCAGCCAGCCTCACAGTCAGGAAAGCAGTTAGGTAATCCCCCCCCCCCCCCAGACAGGGTTTCTCTGGGTAGCCCTGGCTGTCCTGGAACTCACTTTGTAGACCAGGCTGGCTTCGAACTCAGAGATCTGCCTGCTTCTTCCTCCCAAGTTAGGCAATATTCTTATCTTCACTCTCTTTACTCTCCTCCACCCAACCCCCCAGTTTCATACCCAGCTGTGTAGCAGATCACCAGCTGTGACCTCTCCTCCCTTTCTGCCACATTCCCAGGAGAATTATCCAGAATCTGATGGCACCACCTGCCATTAGGAGGCACCACCCTCCTACTGACAGCCTCAGTCCCACCCTCCTTCAAGCCCACAGCCATTCCTAAGTGCCAGCTCCCAAACTTGAGAGACACATCTAACTGAAACCCCCCAGGGCCACATCTGGCAGGGACTGAGAAGCATTCCTACCAGGCAACACATAGCCACCACACTCTCCTAAGACCCAGAGAGGGCATCAGAAACCAAGGAACAGAGCACACACACCCAACAAAGACAAGACCAGATATTGGCACCCAGAACTGCAATCTTCTCAAACCCAGATGCCCAGACTCCAGAGTAAAACACAGGAACACGCGGGACAGCATGTCTTCACTAGAGCCCCGCAGCTCACAGAAGGTCCTGAGCAGTGCTGCATAGTTGAAACACCAGACTCAGATGTCAAAAACCCCTTTATGAATATGCTAGAGGTCCTTAAAGAGGAAATGAATAAATCCCTTAAAGAAATCCGTAAGAACACAAATGAACAGTAGCACAAAATGAAGAAAACCATAGAAGTCTTGTACGTGGAAAGAGAATCAATAGAGAAACCCAAACTGAGGGAAAACTGGAGATGAAAAATTTAGGAATCTGAACAGGAAACTCAGAGGCAAGACTCACCAACAAAAACAAGAGATGGAAGAGAAAAATCACAGACACTGAAGGCAAAATAGAAGATATGGATACACGTCAAAGAAAATGTTAAATTTAAAAGCTCCTGACACAAAACATCTAGGAAATTTGGGAAACTATAAAAAAAAAAGTTTAAAGATAATAAAAATAGAGGAAGGAGATGAAACCCAGGTCAGAGACACACGAAAACATTTTTGACAATATAAAGGAGGAGGTGTCTATCATAGTACAAGAATCATACATAACACCAAATAGACTGGACCAGAAAAAAATTCCCCCAGACATAATAATCAAAACACGAAATGTACTCAACAAAGAAAGAATATTTAAAGCTGCAAGGAAAAAAAAAAAAAAGATCAAGCAGTACATAAAGGCAGACCTCTTAGAAGGACACTTGGCTTCTTAATGGAGACTCTAAAAGCCAAAAGGGCCTGGACAGATTTTCTACAGACTCTAAGAAGCCACTAACACCAACCCAGACTACTATACCCAGCAAAATTTTCAATCACAATAAAGAAAAATATTACAAGATAAAACCAAAATTAAGCAGAATCTGTATATAAATCCACCCCTACAAAAGACACTAGAATGAAAACTTCAACGTAAAGAGGCTAATCACATCCAAGAAAGCACTTGGAATAAATAATCTCAGACCAGAAAGTCTAAAAGGAAAAAAACAAAAACAAACAAACAAAAACCCTATACCACAACAAAATAATGGATGTCAACAAACACTGCTCACTGTTAACTCACAATCCCGGGTCTCAATTCCCCAGAAAAAAGACAGACTAACAAACTGGATTCAAAAACAGGACCCATCATTCTGCTGCACCCAAGAAACAAAATCTTAATATCAAGGAAAGACATTGCCTCAGAGTAAAAGGATAGAAAAAGACATTCCTAGCCAATAGACCCAAGAAACAAATTAGTGTAGTCATTTTAATATCTAACAAAAAAAGACTCCAAACCAAAACTAATCAGACGAGATAAAGGACATTACATACTCCTGAAAGAGAAAATACACCAAGAGGACACTGAATTCTTAACATGTATGCACCAAACACAGGGGCACCCATGTTCATAAAAGAAACACTTCTACAGCTAAAATCCCATATTGGCCCTCGCCTGGTGATAGTGGGAGACTTCAATACCACACTCTCGACACTAGACAGGTCATCCAGACAAAAACTAAACAGAGAAATGCTGGTACTCATTGGTGCAATAAATCAAATGGAGAAATGCTGGTACTCATTGGTGCAATAAACCAAATGGACCTAACATACTTACAGAACATATTGTCAGCACAAAAGAATATACCTTCTTCTCAGCACCTCATGGAACTGTCTCCAAAACTGACCATGTACTTGGACACAAAACAAGTCTTAACAAATACAAGAAAATTGAAATAACTACCAGTATCCTGTCAGACCCTTGATTAAAGCTGGATGTCAACACAGAAACAACAGAGAGCTTACAAACTCATGGAATCTAAACGACTCTCTGAGAGAAAAAAAAAAATGGGTCAAGGCAGAAGTTAAGAAATACACTAAAAGCTTCCTAGAATTGAATGAAAATGAAAACACAACATACCCAAACTTATGGGAGACGATGAAAGTGGTTCTAAGAGGCAGTTCATAGCACTATGTGCCTACATTAAAAAAAAAAAAGGTGGGGGGGAGGATCCCATACTAGTGACCTGAAAGCTCTGGAACAAGGACAAGCAAGCACACCCAGACAGAGGAGATGGCAGGAAAATAATCAAACTTGGGGCTGAAATCAATGAAACAGAAACAGTACAAAGAATCAATGAAACAAAGAATCTGCTCTGTGAGGAAATGATCATGAAAAAAAGGTGAGGGAAAATCCAAATGAACAAAATTAGAGATGAAAAAGGAGGCATAACAACAGACATTGAGGAAATTCAGAATCATAGGCACATACTTAGAAAAACCGCGACCCCACCAAATTAGAAAATATAAAAGAAATGGATCATTTCCTCAATGCATACCACCTACCAAAGTTAAGTCAAGACCAGACAAGCAATTTAAATAGACCTATAACCCACAGTGAAATAGGAGTAATTAAAAGTCTCCAACTGCACCTCCCAAAAAATCAGGATCAGGTGATTTTAGTGCAGAATTCCATCAGACTTTCAAAGAAGAGTTAATCCCAATACTCTTTAAATTATTCCATGAAACAGAAAGAAGAAACATTACCCAATTATTTTTATCAGGCCACAATTAGTATGATACCCAAACCACATAAAGACCCAACAAAGAAAGAGAATTACAGATCAATCTCCCCCATGACCACAGATGCAAAAATTCTCAAGAAAATACTTGCAAACAGAATCTAAATACACATAAGAAAAATCACCCATCATGATCAAATAAGCTTCATCCCAGAGATGCAAGAATGGTTTGATATAGAAAAATCAATAAATGTAATCTACCATATAAACAACCTGAAAGACAAAACTCACATGATTATCTGATGAGATGCAGAAAAGGTTTTCTTTTACAAAACCCAATACCCCTTCACAATAAAAGTCCTGGAGAGCAGGGATACAAGAGATGTACTTAAACATGATAATAACAAAGGTAGCTTACAGCAAATTCACAGCCAATGTCAACTTAATTGGAGAGAAGCTCAAAGCAATTTCACTAAAATCAGAAACAAGACAAGGTTGTTCACTCTCTCCATGCCTATTAAATATAGTACTTAAAGTCTTAGCTAGAGAAATAAGACAACTTAAGGAGATCAGGGGGATAAAAATCAGAAGGGAAGAAGTCAAAGTATCTTTATCTGCACATGATATGATAGCCTGCATAAGTGACACCAAAAATTCCACCAGGGAACTCCCACAGCTGAAAGCAGTATAATACAAAAATCAGCAGTCTTCTGTATATAAATGACAAAGGGGCTGAGAAAGAAATCAGGGAAGCACCTTTTACAATAGCTTCAAAAAGTATATCCTGGGGCAACTCAAACCAAGCAATTTAAAGACTTGTATAAAAAAACAACAAACAAAAAGAGGGGCTGAAGAGATGGCTGCTCTTCCAGAGGTCCTGAGTTCAATTCCCAGCACCTATAAGGTGGCTCACAATCATCTATAATGAGATCTGGTGCCCTCTTTTGGCCTTCAGGGATACATGCAAGAGAAATAATATATACATAATAAACAAATAAAAAATAAATCTTAAAAAAGTATTAGTAAACCAACCAAACAAAAAACCCAAAACCCTTATGACATTGAAGAAAGAAATGGAAGATCTCAGAAGATGGAAAGATCTCCCATGCTTATAGATTGGCAGGATTTAATATAGTAAACATGGCCATCCTACCAAAAGCAATCTACAGAGTCAATGCAACCTCCATCAAAATTCCAACATTTCTTACAGAGAACTTGAGAAGATGATTTTTAGCTTTATATGAAGCCTGCACACGCGCGCACACACACACACACACACACACACACACACACACACACACACGAGAGCTACACAATCCCAAATTAAAAAAAAAAAAAAAACTGTTGGCGGTATCACCATCCCCAATCTCAAACTGTAATACAAAGCCACAGAAATAAAAACAGCATGCTTTTAAATTTATTTTTATTTTATCATTACAAACACAGATACATTGATCAATGGAAGAGAACTGAAGACACAGGAATAAGCCCACATACCTATATACCTATGGACACTTTTTTAAAATAAAGTTGGAAATGCACACTGGAAAAAAGACAGCATCTTCA